TATTATTATTATAATAATAATAATAATAAGTATTATAATAATAATAATATTAATAATAATATTAATAATAATAATAATAATATTAATAATAATAATAATAATAATAATAATAATAATAATAATAATAATAATAATAGTTAACGTCAATAACACGTTAACACGTTATAATATTATCGTATAAAAATTTAAAAATAACGTCCTGTCCATAAACTGGACAGATAGATAGAAAACTGTTTCTTTCACGATCGTGACACGCAGCCGATTCGTAGGGACACACGAAGAAGCAGGGTCCCCGGAGAGAAGCGTGGATAAAATACAGGAATAGTAGGCAGCCATTGCTGTTGATGGTGGACACAACAGTATTCACGATGCATCGTACACAACAGTAGCCTCAATCCGTTGGTAACGACGTAACGACGTCGAGACGCGTTCCTACCTACCCTTCACCCCTCTTACCACCCCACATTCACCCTAACCCTAACCCTTCTATCTTCACAACCAACCAACCATCTCTCTCTTTTTCTCGCACATATATCTATTTATCTATCTTACTATCTCTTTCAAACACACATGCATACATACACATATACAGATAAATACATGGTACGTACACACACCGTTTACACAAGGAACGATGCAACTTAGAATTTCGCATCGCGTTGCACCAGGACGAACACGTAATGGCGGTCGATGCACGGAAATAGGAAAGAGAGAGGCTCTGACTCCCCTCTTTCTCTCTTTCTCTTACTCATCTCTTTATGTGTGTGTGTTGTGTGTGATACATGAGCTTCATGCCATACTTCGCTTTACGAATGTATCGTTGTGCTTGCACTCATCGCTGTTCTCTAACTGTAGGACGTTCTATTTTCTCACTTATGCCATAGTCTAAGAGACACGAGGTGCATTCTACCCCCTACCCTCTACTACTACCACTAGTACCACCACCCTCACTCGTTTCGCATTTCTTTAGAATTTTTTCCTCTTCCTTCGCGATATCTTTTTCCTTGATCGTCTGGTAACCTCCTCTCTTCCTTATCTCTTTCTTCGCGAATACCTAACATCCTCGCGTTCTTTCTCTCCCACACTTTCACCCCTTCCCCCCACCGCATTCGTTCAGTATCCTACTTTTTTTCCCCTTATCGATATTATTTGAAAAACGAATTTCCGCGTTTTTCATCCCCACCCCCGCGAAAATCGAATGTAATTCATGTAAAAATATTTCGTGAAATATTCAACTGGAAATGGAGAAAAGAGTGGTGGTGGTGGTGGTGGTGGTGGAGAAGTTTCTCTCGATCATGGCTACGTTTAGAAGAAGTCCGCCTTCCGATCATACCCCTAACCCCTCCCCCATACACTTTCCTCCTTCTTTATGTCAAATAATATCCTACAAGGATACACGTATATGTATGTGTAATACATATGTACCTTCTATCTATGTATATATTTTTCTTTCCCTTCGTTCGTATCTACCATCACCCCCAACTCCAACCATCGTCTCACCAGCTTCTCTCCCCCCCCCCCAACCAACCTCTTTCCTACCCCAACCGACGTTCTTCTTTTTTCGTTTTCTCATCGTATCGTACCTTCTTCTCGCGTGCCTTGTGCTTTTCTTTCTTTTTTCTTTTTTTTTTCTTACTTCCTACGTACTCCTTCTGTACACTCCCATAGCAACTCACGCCTTCGCACAACCGAGAGATAAGCTATGCGCGTTCAATTTTCTCATTATATATACCTCAGATAGTAATCTTCAACCCCCCATCCCTTATTACTCGCTTTTTTCTTTTTTTAACTTTCTTTCTTTCTTTGAGAAAGCTAAGAACAGACAGTATAAATTTTTATGATCATTAACAGACATTCTTTCCTTATTCTCAAGGGACTATTCTCCGTTAGTTTCTATGGGAAATCGAAAGCAGAGAAAGGAGTAGCAACCAAAAAAAAAGAAAAAAAAATCAACAAGAAACGAATAGTCAATTTAGCTTTGAAATTTGAAAGTAGAAGAATCAAATAAAGAGCCCTTTCTATTTATATCATTTTTTTTTTTTTTGATAACCTATAAGGGAGGGTAATTCGAATACATGCGCATTTGACCGTTTTCCTATTTTCCATTTGTTTTTTATTTGTGTATGTGTTTTTTTTTTTTTTTTCGTTTTTTTTTGTAACTCCCTTTTTCTTTCCTTTCCTTTCCTCTCCTCCCTCTCTCTCTTTTTTCTCCTTTTTTTTTACTTTTTTTTTTTACAATCGATTCCGACAGTGGCACACGATCCGGTGCACCTGTTGCTCGCATCGTCGTCGTAGCCCGGATACGTTGTATCCGGAACTACTACCGCGGAAGTCGCTGCCTCGTTAAACTTCGTTTCAAGAGAGAACACAGGGAATGTGTCGTCGTAATAATAATATTTTATTACATTCAGTCGGAATTCAATTGAATTCTTTTTTTCAAACTTAAAGAATCAAATTTTTTCTCAAAACTATAATAATATATCAACTTTATCCATTTTATTGTTTGTTTTATTGATCTTGAATTTTTCCGATGATTAATTTTGATTCTATTGGGTTGTTCGGAAAGTAATTTCGTTTTTCTTTTGTGAAAATTAAGATAATTTTGCTTCGAGAAGTTAAACCTAGGCCTTACAAGTGGGCATTAACAGTTGAATTTGATAAATTTATTAACCTCTCACCGATCTCACGTGTTGTTATTTATCGGTTTGCATCAACTAATGCCAATATTGTGTCAGGAAAAAACGAAATTACTTTCCGAACAACCCAATATTTTGCTTCACCCATTTCTTTCTTTGTAATTTCTGTTTTCCTTCATCTTTTTCAAATCGTACAGAAATATTTCTTCAAGATTTTTTTAAACGAGAACATTAGTATTTTACTTGTACACGTGCATGCTCGTATTCTTAGGTTTGTTCATAAAGAAGAACAGTGTGTCGTGTAAGAAGAAATAGTAAACGCTAGAAATGTATACGTAAAAGTCATACGACTTGTACCCGTAACTACCCGTACTCAAGAAGAGTAGGTCGTTGAAATATTAGTTCGCGTCTTTGCGCCCAGACCCAGACCCCCAGTTCCACCCCCAACTCCCTCGACTACTTTTACACCGACCCACTTCCCTTTTCTTCTTTTCATCCTTTCTTTCCTTCTTAGAATTAAAGCCAAAGGTGCACCTAACGAGGATTCAAATGAATTTCATAATTCTAGAAAAAAAAAAGTAAAAAAATGTGGAAAGGGGTATAGACTAAGTAGAAGAAAAAGAAAAAGAAGGCGATTCGAAAGAGAAGAAAAAAATAGGGGTTGACGAGAAGAAGTAGTTCCGGGCAATGTCGAGTCATTCGGGTTTATTATAGATAATTATTTTTCTTTCTTCTTTTTTTTATTAACTTCCCTTATATATATCGAACACGTGATATTTATTTTATTCGTCTAATAAATATTTATTGATTCACTTAATTTTTTATTTTATTTTTTTGCTTTCTTTTCTTTATCCGTCTTTGGTTATTTCTTTTGGTACTAACATTAGTTAGCTAGATATTTAATTAAATGTTAGAGAAGGTAAAGAGAAATAGAATGAAGTAGACAGGAGGTTATATCGTAATTGAAAAAGAACATTCGAGTTACCAGCAATCGGTCCAATTTCTATGTAGAGTGTACCCTGTTACCCTGTAACATTTAGTCACTCACGATTTAATCGAATCGTGATAGTAGTATGGATGGACGCTTGTGTAATTTAATTTATTTGCCTTCTCGAAACTCTGTCGTCTTAAACCAACATCTCTCGAAAACCAAGTCGATCCTAGTTAAGCAGCTCTCTCGCTCTCTCTCTCGGATCGATGAATTTGTGAAGTAACGTTAAGATATAGATATGAGCTGTGGTAAAAGAGAAAATGAGAGAGTATAAGGAATACGATAAATATATTACTATATTTCTTGGAAGTAAAAAAATCTACATAAAAAACTATCGGTAAAAGAAATATAAATCATCTGACTTAGTTTCGCATAAAAAAATATCTAACGTAAGAAAGATCGATTTTCGTAAAATTCTTGCAAACTAAAGTTATTAAAAGTATAATATTTTTTTAAAAAATAATTGTATCAGTTATCCAAGTATTTTATGCATAAACCATTTTAAATAAAAAAATAAACCACCTTTAATTTTACCCTTTCTTTGATATACGCGTACTGGAATAATAAATGTTACCGAATGATCGATATGCTGATGGTTAGACAAAATTTTGGTTGAACTAATGTAGAACTGTAATATCTAATTAATTAAAAGTTTTACCAAGTAAATATAGTATATTTCGAGAAATTACGAAAAAAAAAGAAAACAAGAAGAAGAAACCCTCAAGTAATAAATTCCTTTTACAATCTTCTATACAATAAAGTTAAGTACCTAAATAATTATATCAAAAGTCTGAGTTTATTTTGTACAAACTAAAGAAGAAGAAGAAGAAAAAAGAAAATATAAAACCATTATTATTTCTTTGATATACGACCGAGAGGAGAGAATGTAAAACGTTACAAAAAGGATAACTAAGAATGATCGATTTGCAAGTGGTTAGATTTAAAGTTTAGAGTATATTACATCATAGCCAATGTTAAACTATATAATATCTAATTTAAAGTCTTACAAAGTAAATATAGTTATATCAGGGTAGTGTCGGATTGCGAAATAAGAAGAAGAAGAAGAAGAAGAAGAAGAAAAGCCAAGCAGTAAATTCCTTTAACAATTTTCTATCAAAAATACAATGGAGTAGTAACAGTACTACACCTACCAACGTAACACACAGTGGGTTTAAAGTAAGTTTGACGATCGTTGAAAGTGGTGAAGAAGAAGAAGAAGGAGATTGATAAAGATAGAGAAATAGAGAGAGGGGGTAGTTTGAGGTCTCGTGCGAAGAGACCACCACCCGCGCGTCGACTCGCAAAACAGCGGTGCTTAAACTAAAGGTACTTTTCAACTAAGTTATACCTTTCTTGGTCTTGACTGTCTGCAGGTTCCCTGGGTACCTCGGTGTTTGACACTGACGTCTATCTGGTTGGAGCCAGTGGTGGCGTTTATGCTCTTCTAGCCGCTCATCTAGCCAACGTTCTTCTAAACTACAACAATATGGAGTTTGGCATAGTTCGACTTATCGGCATCTTCGTCATCGGTAAGTGAAATAGTAGTAGTATTAGTAATAATAATAATAGTAATAGTGGTATATCGTAAGATCAAACAAAAAAACACACTGAACCACAATTTCTTCTCTCTTCCCCTCTGACCATCATCCTTAACCTCAACCCCACCCCCACTTCCCACTTGCTTTATCTATTCTTTACTTGGGTCCACTAGGACATTCATAATGTTTCACTCTCTTCTTCTTCTTCTTCTTCTTCTTCCTCCTCCTCCTCCTCCTCCTCCTTCTTCTTCTCTTATTTCCCAAAGGAAAACGTTTGCTGCTTTTACGCCGATAGAAACTTTTGACATTCGTAGAAAGTTTAACGTAACTTTCTTTCCTTTTTTTTTCAACTACAAAATGATTTAGACATTATTGATTTTTTTTTCCCTTTCATTTTCATATTTTGTTATATATAATAGATAATTTTGATTCGATGAGACACGTGGACGAAGAAATATTTTTATTTCATACTCACAGTACTTTTTTCTTTATGATTATTTTAACGGAGAATAAAAAAAAATTACACACGTTTTATTCTACGAATAAATTTTCTTCTATGTCCTATAACGTTTCAATGAAAATTCCATATACAAAGTAACACGAGTCATTTGAACGTTGACAAATGATTATTTCGTGTTAATTAAAATATTTTTCCCTTACCGAAATCCACAATTTTGTGATTTTAATATCATTTATCGTGTATAGAATGAGAACAAAAATTCTTGTTCGCTGTCACCGAAAAACCGTACGTTCTGCAGGGTTAGGTAAAATTTGTTTTCGAGATATCTTTAAAACTACGTTTGAATTTAATTTTCGAAACAAATTTCATTTCGTCCTATTAAATATAAATAATACGACTTTTGAAAAATGACGAAAAAGTATTGATTCTTTTGACAAAATATTTTTATTATTATTATTTTATTTTTTTTATTTTTTTTAGGATTTTTTCATACGCTCGTTTTTCTTTCACAACGCTGTGTTTCGGTACGCGCCCCGTTGCTATATTCCGACATAGAGATTCCACTAAATCATAGGAAATGTTTCTCGTTAATCAAGCTTTCTTTAGTTCTTTTTCTTGTTCCAACTGTCAGCAATTCTTTTCCCGTGATGGATACTATGGTCGAAAGTCTAAAACAACGATGTCGATTGTATCCTAGACGACTACGACTACGACGGCGACGACTAGTTTTCTACCCGTGGATGGGTCAGAGTTCGCGAACGACGTCTCTCTCTCTCTCTCTCTCTCTCTCTCTCTCTCTCTCTCTCTCTCTCTCTGTGTGTGTGTGTGTGTGTGTGTGTGTGTGTGTGTGTGTGTGTGTGTGTGTGTGTGTATTTGATGGAAAGGAAAAAGTAGAGCAGGAAATTAGTGGCGAATCCGGAAGTTTTAATTAAAAGATAGCTAAAGCTTAACTTTATAAACCACGTATTTTCACCTACTATGTACCTATGAAATCATACCTTTTCTTCATAGATCTATAATGACATTTGTGATATTAATTCAATAATATATATATATTTTTGTATATTCTTATGACATATACATTTTTGTATATGAATTTTATAACTCGACAATAAATGACTATTATAAAATGCGCAATCATTATCAAACTTTCATGTGTACTGATTTCTGTCTCTAAATAACTTTTGAACGCTTAATTTAATCGCCAAAATATAAGACACCATTTTTATAGAGCAGTTAATTTCCTACAAAAATTTGTATTGTGTACTTTTTAATAGTCATTTATTGTCGAGTTATAAAATTCATACACAAAAATGAAATTTGTCTTAAAATAATCAAACTTAAATCTTCAATATCATTCAAATGGTGAGGTTTACGG